TGCAAACTGTCTCGTAGACCGGCCCTCCAGGATCTGAACTGAGGAACCTTTTTGTACCGTAGGTGCACCAGAAAGATCACGTTCTATCAGTGCTCTCTTTAAGAACTCCAGTTTTTTCAAGGCTGTTCCACAGAGACTTCTGATTTTCTGCAAAGAGATGTCTGGTACTATGAAATTCGTCTCCTTCGAAGCTGTTGTTCTTGCAAACTCATAGTGGTACTTTTCCAATCCATGCAGTTACTTTTTTACTATATTTTAGCATGAAGCTGGGTTTTTGTGAATGGTAACCACTGCAATGAGATATTCCCAACTATAAAAATACAAACAGTGATGGAATGGATGGCAGGAAATTTTGCTTTATCCTACAAGAGATATTTATCAAACTGCGCTTGTGATGAAATGACAGTGTCTGCTGATATTTGTACCCATTCTAAATCAGAAAAATCTAACATCTTCCACCTGGACTTTTTGAAACTGTGGCTAAAAGCTACTTTGACAATAAAATAAAACCATTGGCAGTGAAATGAGAAGCCTGAGAGACCCAGAGAGAAGGTAGAACATTCTGATGCGATGCTGTTGACAGGATTGCCAAGAACTGACAATGGCTGGATGGCACCTAACAACACTCTGGAAAGAATCGTAGCGGACGTAAATAGAAATGCAATAAAAACATAACATGCACAACATGTCACATGTGACCCAGATGGTGCAGATAAGGATGCATTTGAAATGTGGCAAAAACTGATCCCCCCCCCCCCCCAGAACAAAGGGGATGGAGTGGACTCTGCCAGGAGTCCACAGAGAGAAGGCTAAACGCCTCGCTGCCTCTAAATTAGATCACAAATTTTCTGCCTCATGGCAGTGTCTCAATGCTTGCCCTAGAGGCAATGTGCCATACAGATTACGGTTTAATATCCTGCACTTATTCTGCCCACATTGCAGCCCCGAACACCGAAAACTAAGACGCGGATTTAAGACTGTCCTCCGTACTACTTGATTCCTGTAATACAGAGAAATCTAGGGTTAAGGTATCAAATTGATATTTAATGGAAAAATAGCAGCTAATTTTTCTTAGTGGGGACTGCTGTTTGTGGACTGACAATGTTAAAGTGTAATAGTGTTGGAATGTATGCATCTGAAAATCTTTGATATTCTAGAAATCAACAGCACCTGTACACTACAAACTAGTAGTCATTTGTGTGAGGCAATTTTAAGTTATTATTGTGATCACAAATAAAGGTCTTTAATATCATAATTGCATGCAATTTTTTGAATATACATCAATATACAATATATAAGTGCTTGTTTGCTGCACCTGTTGTATTTCACATATTATAGTTTTCAAATACACTAAAAATTATGATACTTATGGACACACCACAACATTCTTAGCGATTCTCTGACTTTTTACTAACTTTTGTTTCATTATAAAATACCACAAACTTTACAACTTCACCTATTTGAATAGATCTTACTATAACAACCAGATCCACACAGCTGTCCCCTATTTAAAGTGGACAGATTTAGTGTAAAGAACAGATTTTATCAGAGTGCAGATTAAATTGAATTATATAGTTTACAAAGATGTGCCAATATAACTTTTTTAAAACTATAAGGCATTATATATCTTTTTCTGAAGATCTTGGCTACCATCCAGTGGTCAGTATTTGTCATTGCACTTTGAGACATTTTCCTTGTATTGCAACTTGACTGAACAAATCAGAATTTCAATTAATTCAAAGCATATGTATACATTGTTTTCATAATTCTGCTGGAGTACAGGGTGAATGCAATTCCAGGGTAGTGTTTTAATTTTATGTGTGATGAGACATTGGTGTTACAGGAGTTCATGTCATTTGTATTGGCTAATGTGGTCGATGCTAAAGAAAAAGAAATAATGTTGAATGTAATGTTCTACACTACATGTAGCTTTGCAAGAGGATTTAAATAAGTATAATTTAACATTTCCTGTGGTATAACTTTAATGTCATTTTCCCATAAGTATACAATAGTTTTATTTTTGGTAGATCATTGATCAGAGGCAGTCAGGTCTTCTGGGTAGCAGAATTTCATAACTTTTCATACCTCGGAGTACAACACTGTAATTTCATGTGACAGGGTCTGCTGTTAAACATACAAGTACTTCCCTGCATGCTAATACATACTTTACAAGGTGATTCACTGCAGTGACAAAGCCTCATTTTCAAATCTGTATTAGTGAGCACTTAAACTGCAGAATCTCAGAACCTGACTGACAATGTTTTCAACCATTGCCTGGAAGTTTTTAAAAAAATCCATATAAATTTTGTATTCAATCTCAGATCAGGCTCCATTTGGACATTGAATAACAGGTTCAAATTCTATAAACACAAGTCTTTTTCAATTGCACTTCTCAGACAAATCCCGTAGCACATGTCCCAGGCTTGAAATCCTCATTCTCCCGTTGTCACTTCTCCCCACACTTACCTTCACATTAAACAGTACCTTTACTGCACTGCTGAGTCACTCTTTACGGGGCTGTGATGGCTTTTGCAATCCCTCACGAGAGCTGTGGCTCTGATATGATTCACTGCATTGTGTGCAGCGATCACACGCAATGAACATTAAAAGCATTACACTTCATTTTTAGGGATGGGTAATTAAGGCACTCCAACATATAAAAATCATGAAGGAAATAAGCTACTTAACAGAAAATCATCGATATCTAGTAAAAGCTCCTGTGACACAAAGTTTCACTTGACTCCTTAGATTCATTTTTTTTTAGATATATTTTTCAGTGGTTCATATTAATTTGCGACTAGAAACATGTGGCGTGCCATGTTTCACATGATTTCTATTCACTAAACTCCTGTCCTCTATAGCGATAAATCAGTCCATCCTCCAACCACTGATCTTGCCCACAGTTGCTGTGGAGTGGGGGATGGAGCCAGAGGACACGAGAAAGAAGGACATCCTAGGTCAGTGTTTCTCAACCCGGCCCTCAGGGACTCTCAAAGACAGCCTGTGTTTTTGGGCTGTCTGGCAGGGAGCTGGGATGGAGCAAAAAAAAAACTGCACTGTCTGGCAGTCCCAGAGGACCGGGCTGGAGAACACGGCCGTGGGAGAGATCCCAGGCCATTACAAGGCACACACACAGTCATACACTCTGGCCAATTTAGGAAGAAAACTGGAGTGCCCAGAGGAAACCCACGGGGAAGACACACACCAGGTGACACTTTAACCCCCCACACTGAAGGTGAAGCATCACTGCTACCCACTGAGCCACCATATTTGTTACATAACTTCATGTCACTCTTACGTTCTGCTTGGATTTGTGTGTGATTGAGCCAGATCGTTTAACAGAACTTCGGCATCGTTTAGTCCCCCTAGACATGCAAGGGGTCATAACACAAGTTAAAAGGGTATTTCTTCAATGACGTGGGAGATACTGCCGCTACCATTTATTAGCCAGCCACACGCAGAACAATCATTTAAATTTATGGCACGAATAAAACTTTTATTACTCCAACTTGGTGCAGAATGTAAGCATGGCACATTCTGTAGTGCCCTGGGGACCAGGAGCATCCACCTTATCAGTTGGAAAAGGTGTAAAAGTGTCTTTGTGAGTTGTGGTTACATGTAAAACATTCCCGCTGCAGGTGAGGGTCTACCATAAGGTGGTTATATTATTTTGAAAGCACACTACTAGACACAAAACAGGATATGATGTCACTAGAAACATTTCCAGGGTGACAAAGACCAAGGAGGTATTCCACAAAGCAGAATTTCCCAGTTAGCAGGATAACTTAAGCCAAAATGTGAAAACTGTCCAATAGTGGCAAGTGACATTCTTATTGGACAATCCTTGTATGTGGCTTATCTGGCAAATGAAATCTTGCTTTGTATAATACCCCCAGGATCCCTTATTAACCATCCAACTCACCTCTCCTCTGAGATTCATGGAGATGCATGATTTCTGTGCAGAAATATTGGATGATTACAATCGATTCTACTTTAATAACAGGTATGGTCATGTAACACATTCGTCCTGATCAGTAAAAGCACCCCAACAGGAACACAGGATTCAGAGTCTTGATTTTCAGATCCCTGTAATAATAAGCAGAGCATATATCAAACAATGAAAAAAACAACAACAGTTTGAAAATCATTCCTGCTGTATTAGCTATCCTGTGCATTTGAAGGTTGGGGATTACCCTCCGATCTGTTTCACAGCACAGTGCTATAAACAGTTAATTACAATACAACAAAGCTAATAATTCAACTTACAAAAGAGAAAAAGAAATAATACCTTGTATCCCTGTAAGACTCAGTAGTAAAATAGCCATGGATATCCTAAGAGGTTGTACAATTCATTTCTAAATTTATGGCAACAATTACGGTAACTTACCAAACTTCAGGAACTTTTCTTGACTGGGATCACAAAACTTATGTGCCGATAACTACTCTGATGGAATGGACCGTTAAATTAATTCTTAAAAAACACTGCTTAGGTGTTATAACAAAAGAAAAACTGTGTTGCGAATGTGGCCTACGTGCAATTTCCCAAATCTACAAGTTAAAAAGGTGTGACTCAGTGGGCTAAGCTTGTGTGCGTGCAATCAATCACAAGGTCACTGGTTCAAACCCCACCTCGGCATGTCTGTGGGTTCTTGAGCAAGGCCCTTAACCCCCAGCTCCCTGGGTGCCCCGACAGGTGGCTGCCCTTCGCGGACAACTTACCCTACAAGGAGCAAGTTGAGGGAGGCGTAAAAAGAATTTCCCCACGGGGACAATAAAGGATTGATTATCATTATAAAAAAACAAATGCAACAAAACTGCACTGATCAACACTATATTTCTTGGACAGCTTAAGAGTAATTTAGCAATCAGTACCTCCCCCTACAATGCAACAGTTAACAATTTAAATTGTTTTAAGTACAAAAAAAAAATAAAAAAATAAAAATAACTAACAGTAGCAATACAAATGCATGAAAATTACATTTTAAAAAAAGGCTGAAGCATTCATATCAAAATATATTTTAATCTGGACTTTTTTTTTCCGATCTGATTCAAATTACAACAGTCAGACCAATACAACAGAAAGAAAATCTGAGTCCAACAAATCCAATTTAGCAAGGAAACAAGGGATGGGTCTGGGCAATTATGATGAAGCGTGTAACCCGAATCAAACCGTGCCATACAAATGATCCAGGATACTGAGGCATGTCCAATTCTCATTCTCATTCACATTGCTGTAACAGCTATTCAGAAATATGAATTACAAAAGTTTGCAAATAGTACAAAACCTCCAGGAGGTATACACATACAAAGGATTGATTCTGAGTTATGGGAACTGTGACATTAATGGGCAGGGGGAGGGAGGGAACTGGACAATATTTTTTGAGCCAGAAAACAAAATACTAAGCCATTTTCAGCCCATGTAATAGTGTCCAAAGTGATACAATGCACTTACATTAGACACAAAAAGTCTGTGTTAGGATGCATATTAGTCGTTTTTCCCCATTCTAGCAAAAAAAAAAATAAATCCCATTTTTTTTCATTGACAAACAATATTGCTGCAGCTGTCCTGTATGGCTGGATAATTGAGTAACGCTGAATAAAGCTATTTCGAAGCCTATACTTTAAAGACAAAATTCTATGGATAATACTTGATTTACTTGCACAATAAAAACATTCCATTTTCAGACATCTGAAAAATGCAGTGCTCTTTTATGATCTAATGGTAATGGTAATTCTATGAATGGACAAAACATAACTTTCCCATTGCCTAGTAGAAACATCCCTTATCACATAATTAAGACCAAACACAAATGTTTCACATGGTTTTTTAAAAAAAAAAAAAAAGCTTCAGTATGAGTATTAAATGATTTCCTTTAGTTGTTTACATAGTCATGTCTGGTCCATATTACGTGCAGCAGCTGCAGCTTCTGTGATGTGCCCAACACCCAGACTCGCTTTATTATTAATATTAAAACAAACAACCACGGCTGTTGCTGCAGTACTGTTTCTACCAACAGCTAATATTAAAAAACTGAAAGTTTTATTTGGATCAGGAGTTTTAAAGTTTAGTGAGAACTTAAAGAAACTTTCCCTTCTGGTGGAGTATATGGATTTGATTCTCCCTAACTGCAGTGTTAAAAATTTAACAAATTGTGCCATGCACATTTATTTGTAGACTATACAATAATGATTGATTAATACTGGTTTCTAATTTCAGTGTGGACCAACAAGTAATCAGAAATATACTAAACAATGGAGCTTCCTGAATACACTTACAGCAGTCATCCTTTGTCCAGAATGTTCTATGAATGAACATTTTTTCATGTCGCTTTATCAATAGTGCACTATTGAACCATAATTATGGTCTTAAAGCAAAATGACGCATAATGCATCTTCCCAATTTTTGTGCCCACATTATTTTTTTATTTTCCTCTATATTCCACAGAATAAATATCCCCTTGAAAGAATCTGCTGCACCTAGATGTCAACAGCAAAACCGTACAGCCAAAAAAAAAAATTTAGGAGTAGGTAAAAGTGAGGAAGAGGCGCAGGGGGGAAATGCAGCAGAGTCCCCAATGTCTGAACCATAAAACATACAGTGCCAAAGACTTTTTAAACTGCTAACTGTCCAAGTAAAAATGAAATTGAGGAAGATAGTTTGATTCCTCCAATTCATGCAGCTGTAAGCTTAAAAAATGAAAAATTTAAAAGTAGAACAGAAATGTCTGATGCCGAATGAAGTGCACAGAGAGTTATCTACCCAAAAAAGTATAAATCCTTGGATTTTGGTTTGACAAACCAAAAAAAAGAGGTTTCGTTTTTTTTTTCCTTTCTTCAAATTTTGGTCCAAATATGGGCTCTAGTTGTCTTCTTTCTGACTGTCTGGTTCACATCTGTGGGTGGAATCCTCCTTCTGAAGAAAGAGGGCTCAGCTTGTCCCTCAGGTACGATTGTTTTGGCTGCAGTTGCTGGCCATGGTTCAGGGACTGTAGCAGTAAGTGTGGTGGGGACAGTCGTTTTGGCTATGTACACATTCATAGTCGGTCCATGGCTTGCAACAAGCACGATTATTTCCGTAGATCTAATACACAAACCTGCAACAAACAAATCATTTGACAAGACTTACAAACCATTTCCCTTAAAGTTTCACAGTTATCAAAATGGTAATAATCGCTCTTGTTTCAATGAGTTTTTTTAACATGTGGTCCTATTGTCACAATACAGAAAGTAGGCAAAACACACGGCAAGTTATGTAGACATCACTAGACCTCTTGTCAGTGTTTCATGTACTCATTTACTTCATGGTATCTATAACTTATTTCAAATACCTTGAAATTATATGCCTGTTCAATTAAGAATATTCTTCATGTGGGATTCTTATGAGTTTAAAGACGTCTTTTTGTGTATTTGTATATTTGACATATTTAAAAACTTCAAAATGACCAATTCCTTCAAGACTGAAGCAAGAATGTATTTTTAAAAAGACTCTTCACAAATCATAGCTTATAAAAACTTGCTGATAATTAAGAATTATATTCATCCTTATACCGCATGACGCAACACCATGTACACCATTACATAGTTCAAAGAAATTCTGCTTTAGAAACCCAGTTTTGCACCCATAAAATGCTTTTTGTCTGCCTGTGCCTTGAGATCGCCACCTCCCTTATGAGGGTTATTAAAGAAGCCTAATAGCATGAAGACCGTGAAGCACTTACAGATCCATCCGACGCACTTGCTCCCACTTTGTCACCAGCTGCATTCCAGCAAACTTCAAAGATACCTCCTGTCCCCCGGTAGCTATGAACCAAAGCACCTGTCTGTAAACAGAGAATTGGACATAATTTAAAGGTTTTAGGGAGTCAAAGGTGCAGTGCAGCACATTAAAACTGTTTTTAAACTGTGCATTTTAATCTCAGCACAAACACGGGTATTCATGCATTCATTCATTTATAGGAGTAGGAGAACAAAAACAGATCTAGGTAGAAATCCTAGATATTAAACTGTGTAATATGAATCGTCCTGGATTTAACTGACTAAACTCGCAACAAGACGTGCAAAGCAGTACCTACCTGCGTGTTCCAGATGTGGACACACTTGTCAAAGGAGCCACTAGCCAGGTACCTGCCATCTGGACTGAAGGCAACACTGTACACAGGTTCCTGATGTTTGGTCAGTGTGTGGATGCAGATTCCTCGGTCTACATCCCATAATCGGACGGTGGAGTCGAAGGATGCACTGTGAGGAATCGATACACAGCTGCTGTCACATTGCCAATAACAGACAACTTTGAATCCACTGAACAAATTATTTTAATTTTGTAGGGAAGAAAAATCATACGTAGTCCATACTGCCATACCTCGCAAGCATAAGGTTGGCATTGGGGTTATTGGTTCCAGTACCAGTAGGGCTCCACTTAATAGTATAAATTTCCTTGCTGTGTGCTTGCAAGTCGTGAACACAGGTATCCTGTTTCATACTCCAGATCTGTCAGATAATCAATGCAAGTTATCAGAGAAAAGCCCCTACACACACACACACACACACACACACACACACACACACACACAAAAAAGTTTCCCCAAACTTTCAGTATATCTTCTGACACAGTATTTGCAGTTTGTTAGCTTAGAGCTTCGACCCTTCTCATAATGAAACTGATCGGTTAATTAGAAATTATAAAGTTAAACACTGCACAGACTGCGATACATAAACTTTACCTTCAGAGTCATATCGTCAGAACAGGAAGCCAGCAAATTGCCAGTTGGATCCCATTTGATTGCATTGACTTCATTCTGAAAAGGGCAGGTTAAAATTAGGCATGTGTACTGACCTTGGCCACATAACAGAGTACTCCCAGAAGTATACCATGATACGTACTGTATGCCCTTGAAATGTCTTAATGGGTCTGTCCTGGCCAAGTTTACACACATGGATGCACATATCCGTGCTACAGGAGGCAAACGTGTTGTTGCTCTGCCAGTCGACATCCAGTGCAGGAGCTACCATTGGGAAAAGGACAAAAGAGATGAAGAGTGGGTTTTATCTGTCAGGGATTATATGGATATATCTACAAGGATACTGTGTGCATCGGAACAGTACACATGCACAGTAAATGATTGCTGTCTGTCTGTCTCTCTCACTCTCTCTCTCACACACACACACACACACACACACACACACACACACACCATTCATTTCTATGGAAAAAACCCCAATCCCAACAATGACACCCTTAACCCGACCCAGACCTAACCTTAACCATAAGTAACCAGAAAAAATTTGTGGGGACCGAAAAAAGGCCACAATGTTAAAATAACATTCACTTGAAACGTTTGTTTACATACCCGAATGGAAAGGAAACTGTTGCTTTGCCTCTCCAGTATGGGCATCCCAAATGATTGTGGTCTGGAAGAACACACACTCAACTCACTATGGATATTTATATTGCACGTCAAAGCATTTCTACAACAGAATCCATGGCGAATCATCGCCATCAAGCCAGTATTTACTTTATTTATATTAGTATTTATTTTGCTGTTACAAATTTAAGGCTGCATATTTATGAACATGCATCTTCTGAAGTGCTTTCCTAAAGTGTTTCCTAAAAACACATAAATGCTCAATCTCTTAGACAGGTTTGACAAATGGTTTGGTTGAAGATATATTTATTAAAATTCTCCATTTAATTAGGTTATCTTTCAGCTAGGCAAAGGATGAGAAAAGTTGTTTAAAACGGAAAGGTCAGACTGCCGTGATGTTCAGTAATGCATTTATCTTGGTAAAGACAGGATATTCTCCCTAAAATTAAGCATATTCGTATTTCTTGTATTTGACAGGGCCTAATTCAATGTGACCTACAAAGATGAAACCGAAAAACAAGACATGATATTCACTACCGGCAAAAGCCCCCAAATTCTTCATAAAAATAAGCCAGTCTTGAATTGACAAGATCATAAAAATGAAACAGCATTGAAAACTATTACATTACGGAATTATCTAAATGTAAATACACCAAAAAAAGTTTGAATGTACACAATCTTGCTTTCATTTCCTTCACATCACAGAATGTGTGCGCACAGTTTACAAGACACTGCATCAATAACTTCTCTAAAAGTGGTTTTTAAGTAAAAATTATATTTAACTCACTATGGATTTAACTCAATATGTATGAAACAGGAAAGCAACTTGTGATATCAATTTAATCAACAGGAAGTCTGCAGTGATGGTAAAGTTGTATTTTTGACCAAGTAGGTAGAATCTGAATATAGACTGCCATTGAATTCTGTTAAGCATGCTGACTCCAAAAAGCAAATTACTGGTGAATGAAGCCACCATTTTTGTAGTCCAATTCATACAACAGGCACATAGTTGCATACAAGTTCCCTAATTTAATACACACACATCAAGCATAGGAAATAATTAATTTTACCTTATCGACACCAGCGCTGAGGATAAAATTTCCTTTTTTATTCCACTTCAAGGCAAAAATTGGACCTTTGTGTTGACCCAAGGTACTGGCAAGATTGCCTGCAAATCACATCAATCACTTAAAGGAGGGCAAACAGATGATGTTCAATACAAGTTCAGATGATCCCAGAAAGGAAAAGTCATACCGTCTTTTGTCCATATCCGTGCAAATCCATCATAAGAGCCAGTTGCCAGTAGTGTACCTTCGCTCTGTCACAGAAACAGTCAAGTCAAAACTTCACAAGACTAATATATACATACATATAAATTGAGTCCAACTCAGTTTAATTAAAACTCTAAACTGCATTTCAGATATGAAAAATAAAGCCTTACTAGTTCCCTTGGGTATCTGGCATTTAAAAAGTGACCAAGTTAAGACATGCTAGAAAGCCAATGGAGCAGGACTCACATTCCAATCTAATGATGTGACATCCTTGTTGCTGGGCACGTCCTGCCCTCCCTCCCGAATGCAGTGCCTGAGCACTAGCTGAGTGGAGCTGCCGGTGCTCTTCTCACTGAGGTTCCAGATGCGAGCTGTCGAGTCGCCGGACCTGTGGGGAGAGGCAGCACTGTGGGATCACCGCGGGGGGAAGTGTGATCAGACATTCACGCTGACACTGGTGACAGCAGCTACCCATCGGGACCATTGTATACCTCTCATTTAGAGAGGGCTTTGCCCTTCTGTTGCTCATATTGTCAGGAGTAACATTCACCCATATGTACCTTTTAACTTTTTTTGACACCATGGGTCACCTTAGGAAGTCCTTTCAGATAGAATTAAAAAAACACACTTAATCAGATAACGTTCAAACAAAATCAGCTATTCCCAGGAATTGTCAAGGTGAATCAGCTCTTGGCGATTATCTGCCGTACATCTGGCTCCGCCAGACAGGCAGATCTGAGGTAATGAGGATTCGAAGGCAGACAGGCTCCGGCCCCCCCGGAAAACTAACCCAGAGGCGAGGAGGTCGCTGACCGGGTTCCAGGCGCATATAAACACCTCTGACTCGTGGCCACGCAGCACCATGGCTTTGCTCTGGGGAATTTCTACATCCCTGTCCACTTCCATCATGTCCGCATGGTTGTCTGACAGGGCAGAGAAGGATTTGTGGCAAAATCAATATATTAACACAGCACAACAATATCTTAAATGCTTCCACAGATACTGATTAGCCAAAACTTATTCGAATTTGTGACCATCAATAGCAAGTTCAGCCTTAACCACTCCGCCACCCTCAGGTTCCTCTACAGCACTGCACCCAGGACACATGACGTCATTTCTCTGTGCATTATGACATACTAGGTAAGGCATGTGCTCCATTCTCCTCCCCATTAGTGGCATTCTCTCCATTCTTGGTGCTGCCTTGCAGGCTGGTGGCAGCAGGGGGGGCCACAGCGGCTTGCTGCTGAGCGAGCTTGTCCCTATAGGCCTGCTGGCGTGTCTGCACGACGTCTGGCATCACTGCATCAATCAGCGACAGCGATTCGATTGGCCGTCCGTCAAACAGGGTGCCGTCCTGGAAACACAAGAGCAGCTCAGCAAGTCCAGGATACAAGCACATTCCTATAAACTGATTTTACTTATCAAAACTTAGACTTAAAAGTTAATTAATGGGAGTAGTCTCTGGAATGTTTTAACCTGTACCTCAAATCAAAGTCAGTGTGAGTTGGCAGATTTCTCTATGCTTAAATTTTCAAGTAAAGCAGAAGTAATTTATATGTGAATGCAAAGAACAATTTAGAACATAAAAAACTGTCAAGCACTGCATACACCTGCAAGACTTATTAAGCTTTAATTAAAACAATATGGTTGATGGCTATTTGTTCAACAGCCAGCAATTTTCTGGCCATGAATCATAGAATAACATCTGTAAATACTGATAATTGCTTTAACAGGGCTTCTTAATTGGTTTTCTAGACTCAAAAGGGCAACATTTCCTCTCTAATGGTGGAATAATTTTGGAGGAAGTAAATCCGAACAATGTCGTAGAAATCATCTCTGAAATATACTGAATTTAAAATCATTATTTTCATATTTATTTTTATATTTATAAATTATAATGGGGCAGCTTTTAGAAACCCCACCTGTAATACCTGCTTTAGTCACTATTTAACTGGGTATATCTGCTGACAATGGATGCATCTCATGTGTGTTAATGTGGAATTTTGCTCAGATTCAATCTTCCATATGACTATTAAAGATAACAGCCCACAGATTAAGTTGCCTTTTGCGGTGCTTACCTCATTGATGCTGACTTCTGCCTCTACATACTGCAGGCCCTTCTGAATGATGGAGATGAGAGCAGCAGGGGGCACCAGGGCGCCGTTTATGTTGGACTGGCTGATGTGGCTCTCTATGCCGAACGTGAACGCGGAATGGGAAAACCCTGGCAACAACATAAAAATGCTTCAGCAAGTGCACTCAAGTCTGTATTCATGCAATGAAATCAAAATAATGCATGTGAAAACTTGCAAAAAAAAAAAAAATGTAAATGCTTGCAACTTATTAAAAATAAATGCAAAACTACGAGAGTCAATAAAAACTTCAAAAGACAAACATTGCTAAAGGAATTGGTCATTAAATTTATATTTGTTACCAAACCTACCAGACTCCTGTAGGTATCTGTACACCAGGAAGTTAACCTCATCACTGCTTATACTCATCTTTATTCTTGGTTAAACCATGAGGTCAGCACAGAGGACACAAGCCTACATGCAGGAAAAAAAAAAGAAAAAAGGAAAAAAAACATTTTATTCCTCTTTGTCATCATCTATTGTCATTAATCATAACTAGGAGTGGTTAAATTGATTCTGAACAGGCTTTAATGTCCATTACTCAACATTAGTCCAATTTTCTTTAAATAGTATTGAAAAGGTCTTTGCCCAAGACGTTTTCATAATAACAGACTCGTCATCTGACACAGGTTAATGTTGGACAAAACTGCGGCAGTTCCAGCGTCCACGTGCCTCTTGTAGCTGTTCCACAGGAACAGCTTCCTCAATGTAGCAAGAGAAACATTCTGCTTTAGGGTACTGGAACACCCTGACTGAACTTCAACCTGATTCTTAAATACGTCATTGAAAGCAGAAACTCACAAGAGCACCTAAAATAGCCAACAGCAGCTTATTATTCTAAAGTCAGCTTATTCCAAACTAATAAGAGAGGGTCAAATTGAATAAGTCCCTTAGATCCTGGTATTCCCTAATCTTGGAATTACTTCATCAATGTTGGAAGTAAAGTCAGAAGTCTGGGTTTTAAAATAGTTTACGAGCAAAATGACAGGATGACAATGCTTACTTACATAGCTACAGTAGGTTAATATAGTGGCGGTATTTTCAGTAAGAACCCAGACGTTGAGATGCAATCCAATTTCCAAGCTTGTTAAAGCTCCTCGCAAACGAATTCAGGGCCTCCCAGTGTCCCATTTAGTAGAAACTACAAAACGATCTTCACGTTCTTCACACCACATAACCGACTGAGGATCGTGGGACTAAAAACAATTATGCAAACTTTATATATAAAAAATAAATAAATAAAAAAAAGTTTCCTGAAATATCTAGGCTAATTGCGAAAAAAATGAAGAAAATATCACTAAACAGTCAAGCAGTTACATATTCATATAAATTTCTTCATTGGCTTGAGGGTAGCTGGACACTGGAGCAGCAGGTAGCATTATCCGGGTTTGAGTCTCATCTCTGTTCGGTGTGTGGGGTTTGCATGCTGCTGTGCAGGTTTCTTCCTGCAGACCCATCTAACTGGCATCTCTAAATTGCCTGTAGACAGTGTGGAGCATGATATGTGTGTGCATATGCCCTGCAACGGACTGGCATCCCCCCCCCGACTAGTGTCCCCTATTCTGCCTGGGACAGGCTCCAGGTGACCCTGAGCACTATACCCTGAGCAGGATAAGCAGTTGGAAGATAGATGGTTATTATAAATATTTTTGATGGCAGATATATCCCCTGAATTCAACAGCTGGCGGAGGCACATTTGGCAGCAATAACAGCTAAAAGCAGCCACATCAGCTTGGGTCGCATTTTGCCAGTAGTTCTTGGCAGATTTTCGGAAGTTCTGGGGGACGACTTACGGTCTTTCCAGTTGGAATCAAATGAGAACCGCTCCCAGACACCCAGTTTCTTGTTCTCTAAGAACATCTAAATCTCTTTTGTCACTGCATCTGGAATGAACTGTTTATCACCTGCACCTGTACCACTAACAAGGCGATATCAGTCATGCTGATGTCTCCTCCAAGGCTGAGATAGAAAAGAATCGTGAGAAGCTGTTTACGTTTCTCCTCGACATGGCTCTGCCAGAATTATAGCATGGAAGGACACAAATACAGACTACATTTGCCATGCTTTCTTTTCATTTTTTTCTTCCTTTATTTTACAATTGACTATCTGTAGAGTAGGCAGTGCTCAGAGGCTTCATCCAATATTTTTGGTCTCTTCCCCTTCAGTACATTTGCCTTTATAATGTCTTTATAAGAGTCACCTTAAAGGTATTTTTTTTAAATATCAGAAAGTACATTTTTGGACATTTTTGTGATATAAAAAAAACATCAGTGTAAATTCTCAAGACCTGCTAACCAGATTGTGCAGGCTGTTATGGTCTTAATGTTTATACATTAATTTACTTCTATTGTAGTTGACAACTGAAGCACATTGTCTAAGAACCTATATACCAAAATATTACTTGCAACACCAAGTACTCAAAATTGCAGGATCTAAACTGGAAGAAAATGCTCTGGCAAACCATTCTTGCTTCAAGAACACGAGACATGATGCACTTTGCCAACTGGTTGGGGCAGTCTCACAGAGGTTCTCCTTGATGAATGTGTCGGTGTTTAGACTACAAACACGAGCCTTATCAAAGCAGGAACACAGAGAGCACACTGCTGGCAGCAATCACACAGAGAGCCCTCTGCAGCTTACAGCCCAACCCTAACCCTTGACCTTGAAAGACAAGGCTGACCCAGTGCAGCATGTTTATCTGACAACACCAGCACTCCAAAAATGTGCTGCCATAGTGAAACTCTGTTCTGAAATGTTCTTATATTAAAAATATTTCTTTTTTCAGCTCTTTAATGGCCTGTAACTTGTTCAAATAACTGAATGTTGCTACCGACAGAACCAATCCATAAACATTGTATATGTTTGTGTGGTGCAGTATAAATGAAGCATTCTCAGCCACATAAACAAACAGAACAAGTTTGGCGGAGTAAGCTAGTGCTCAGCCTAAGTCAAAGTGAAGAACACTCAACTGTAGTAAGCAAAATAATAAAAATATTATGTGTACCCATTTTGTTATACTTCACTGGTCATGATTAAGCGTAAATGAAGATCACAGAGTCCCAGAAAAGACTAAAGCGTAGCTAATCCTTGCTTTAGGTGAAAACAAACATGATAGCTGATTTCCTAAAGCCATTTTGGTCTCATTCTTTTTAAATTGCCAAATCTGCCATTAAACTTAAATAAAATGGAACATCCATTCATGTGTGTGCAAATGCTGTGTTCTGTAATATTAAAATTTACAGGCACACACCATTACTATTAACTAATATTAAATCTTTATGGACTGTAGCTCCATTCACTGAGCACACAGCAGTTTAACCATCATTCTATACTGAATAGCTCAAAGAAATCAAGAACAACTATCCAATATAGGTTAAATGCTACCGTTTAAAAACATCAGTTTTAGAGAAAAAAAATCATTAAGAATACTTCAGAGTATATCACAAGCCTGCATAAACCAAGCACCTGTTTTTATCCATAAAGAAATGATGTTTCAACTGCTTATAATCCTCAGCCTAGAGTTCATATATTTAAACAAACATGCTAAAGACTGACCTAGAATGTCCACACTGCCAAAACGTCAGAACCATTAGCTACCTGCACAAGGCTTTCCTAGTGCATATTCTTTGTTTACTCTAGACACACAGGTCTTGCCAGACTACTTAAAAAAGCAGGAATACACACAGATAAGCTGCCGGCACAGATTCGTCCTGTAGCTTGACTGCTTAGGCTGACCAAGCGTCATGCTTGTTTTGTGACAGCAGCACCACAGCTATTTATGTCTGCACCATTACCAAGTATGATGAGCATGTGCAAACCACCTACTATTCATTCCCTAGCAAGATTCTGTACATTTACATTAAATTTACAGAACAACAGAACAATCCAAGACACTACAGTGGACAAAAGTATATGAAGACCATCATTTAAATGGGCAACAAAATTAAAAAACGGCTGACAGGTTACAGCTGAAAAGCTTCCATCAGGGTGTGAGGCAGAATAAACCACAAGGCATTTAAAACATGGTTAATAGGTAATGCAAGTTCTTCAATTGCTTTTAACTGAATTAGGTAATGTGGTTGCAATTAATTTACTGATCTTACTTCATAAGTAACAGTGTTTAAACTTCGAAATACAAAAACAGACAAATTACAAATAAGATTCCATCTTTTTCATCCGATTCCGTACATATTCCTATGTTTTAACAATAAGCTGATACCAACTACTGATTTAACTGACCACACATGATCCATTATCTGCATACGAACTGCCACTATATAATCTGTAATTCAAGCAAAACACCTTCGCAGTTAGAGACTGTTCATCAGGTTGAGATACATGGCCAAGACTTTAATGCAAGTCTCTGACCCAGTAAGAAAAATCTGATTCCAAATAGACAGCATGTTTAAAATGACCGCAGCTTTGTATATTACGCCAGGCAGCACAGGGCACAAAACCTTGGGAAAACTCTGTATGAGATCAAGCGCATAGGACACAAACACGCACACCCATTCGCAGTGTATAGACAATTCAGAGACTATTCAGAGACAATTCAGAGATTAGCTAACTTCACTGCATAAGGAAGTTCGTATACAGAGCAGAGATGGGATTTGAACCCCCAATCCTGGAAGTGTGAGAGCACGGTGCTACCCACTACACCACCACAAACCCATTCTGTCTCTATTGTAAAATTACTGATATTTAATTAACAGTAATTCATCAATCATGACATTTTTGCATAAAAATTGATATCCCCAGATCTCTCCCATTTACTCACTGCAATACACAGTATTTAAGGATACATCATATGACTCAGCTGTATTCATTTGATTCTTTAACAAATTAACTTTTTAAATAACTGAACTCATTGTTCAGATATGGATGTTCATTATATTACACTGTTTTCTACTATAGCAGCATGCAGGGGCATGTAAAGCATGAACAAGGCCAAACAAGGCTGAGCAAACTCCGTGTAGGCTGGATTTGTTGTTTTTCCCCTGACAGGGGTGTTAACTATAAAGTGGTGCTGACGTCAGAAACAGCTAGTCAAGTTACAACGATTCATTGCTGTCACGCCAACTAATTTCAAATATACCCTGATAAAAACAGCAATAATAAAATGGAGAAAAACAAAATACTACTAGTTTCGATAAAAAGAGTGCATTTTGCAAGCACCTGACTATTAAAAAAAAACACAAACACAAACTGCATTTTCTCTGCTTTACTAGATCTAAATTCCCTGAAGAAAAAGATCTATAATCAAAATATCTCATATATTATTAAGACATTCGCGTTCACATTGCTATAAGAACGTGAGAAACCTGAAGACAGGCTATGTGCATAACCAATCGACAAAGAAAGCGCTTCAAGTCCCACCCCAAAGTAGTACCCCAGTTGGTGTGGCACTTCTGGTACTGGTACTTGACTGGAAGTCAATGTAAAAGGGAAAGCACAAAGTACAGTACTTGGTGCAGTGGTAAAGCACCCTAAGTGACTGAATTTCTTGACCCTTACTGTGTACCGTGGGTATTAATTTTCAGCCACCTGATATGTTGTCTGAAGAAGCAGGTGTACCAACGACCATAGTATATTGAAAAAGCAAATCAGGCAACAAAAGCATAGTGATTTCCATGAAACATTGGTTTCAATCTCCACACTTACCACAAAAATCTGCGTTACGTTTCCACAACAGAAAGCTTTTATAACAGAACTGTCCACGAGTTGGAGCACCTGCAAAGACATAATTTACATTATTTGTATTGCTAATTAAACATTACTGCTTATACTTTTACATTATTGTTTATACTATTGCTTCCAAATATAATTATGTGGAATTTCTATTAATATTTGGAACTTGGACATTTACATGAAGATTGTTGTGTTTCTTACAGTAATGTGAAAAAGAAAGTACACCTTTTGCCAATTCTAAGGTTTTACATATCAAGACATTATAAAAAATCATCTGGTCCTTAGCAGAGCTTAAATGAGGGGTACCCAATCTTATCCGCAAAGGGCCGGTGTGTATGCAGGTTTTTGGGATAACCTGTAGGTCAGCTGTTCAAACCCAGGTGTGAAGACTCTTTCAGCCAATCAGTCCTCTAATTAGTAATCTAATTAGGGAGTTGCAGCGAAAACCCGCATACACACCGGCCCTTTGCGGATAAGATTGGGTACCCCTGGCTTAAATAGATCTTAAAAGGTTAATACAGCCTCAGATGAACAACAACAAATGATGTATTACACCCTATCATTATTTATTTAACAAAAGCTAAGCCAAAATGCAGAAGCAGTGTGTGAAAACCTAAGTACGCCATAGGAATTAAGAGGGTAAGTAGCAGCAAGATGCTGCTAATCAAATGCACTTGATTAACTGATCATCAGCAAGTGTGACCATCTCTATAAAAGCAGAAGCTTTGCCAGTTTGCTTATCCGGAGCATTCAGGTGTGTGTTAACACAATGCCAAGGAGGAAAGACATCAGCAATGAGCTTAGAGAAGCAATTTTTACTGGGAAGAGTTATAAGGCCATTTCCAATAATTTTAAGTCCATCATTCTACAGTGGGAAAAAAAAACATGACCAATGTTTTCCACTCTTCCCAGGAGTGGACGTCCCAGCAAATTCACCTGAATTTGCAATGCAATGCTCAGAGAAAACCAGAGAGCTAGATCTCAGACTCTATAGGCCTCAGTTAGCATGTTAAATGTTAAAGTTCATGACAGTACAATTAAAAAAAGACTGAACAAATATGGCTTGTTTGGAAGGGTTGCCAGGAGGAAGCCTCTTGTCTTTAAAAAGAACATGGTAGCCCGGTTTAGGTTTGCTAAGTTGCATCTGAACAAACCACAAGACTTCTGGAACAATGTCCTGTGACAGCGCCATGTTTGGCAGAAACCAAAACACAGCATATCAGCACAAACACCTCATACCAACTGTCAAGCACAGTGGTGGAGGGGGTGATGATTTGGGCTTATTCTGTGCAAATTCGGGAAAAATAAATTGTGTAAGAAGTAATTTATTAAAGATGTTTTCAATGGCCTAAAAAATAGAATTGTCAACAGAAACATATAATAGTATAAAAGTATATATTTTTATATAGTTTTATAGTGGAGTGTCCGGGGGCTTGAACTCCTGGTCAGAAATTCAGTCCAACTCCAGTGAAACAATGAACCTTTTTGTGGAAATTTTGTATACAGAAATTTTGAGCTTCACTGGTTATGATTAAAAACTGAAATATTGTCATATGGCAACCAATACAATGCAGTACAGACTGAACCCTTTGCCTTTGAATAGAAAAAGTACTAGCCTGCCCTAGTTATATCTTAGTACTGAAAGACCTTCTTAGCATGTACATTTGTACTGTGTTGACGTGGTATAAAAATGCATGTCTACAGTGTAGAAAGTTGAATTATTTGTGAAATATAGTTTGAATTTTTTAAGCAATTACATTTGCATTATGTGAAATATTATAATGATGACTAATGGAAATCAAAATACAATTTAAAGATTGTACGTAGAAGACAAATATGAAATATACCTTTCATGGAATTATTTACAAATAAAAGGACATTATTTATTTATTCATTTATTTATAGACATTTTTGAGTATTTTGGCATTCCATACAAACAAACATTTCAGGTGGTTTGCTTACCCTGAAATGCACAAATAGCTTTTAATTTCTTCTCCTTTTAATGTTCGGCAGACTCTGCATACAGAAGTGATTTATGTACTTAAGTAAGTTGCAGGAAAGTGAGATCCGTTCACAAGCGGTCAGTCGAGAGATCCATGTTAATGCCAAGTGTGAACAGACATATTTAGCACTGTGAACTTGTGACCGGATCACCCGGAAAGCATGTTAGTATCAGGTGTGAACAGGGCCTGAGCTTGGGGCATGCAACAGAACAATGATCACAAGCGCACCAGCAAATCTAACAACAGAATGGCTGAAAAAAAGGAATCAAGGTGTTCAAATGGCCCAGTCAAAGTGCAGACCTCAACCCGATTGAAATGCTGTGGCGGGACTGTAAGAGGCCTGTGCATAAATGACTGCACACAAACCTCAATGAACTGAAGCAAAGTTGTAAAGGAAAGTGGGCCAAAATTCCTTCGTAATGATGTGAGAGACTGATAAAGTCACACAGAAAATGATTCAAGTTACTGCTGCTAAAGGGGGCTCTACAAGCTACTGAAATCATGGCGTGTACTTAGTTTTTCACACATGGCTTCTCCATTTTGGCTTCATTTTTGTTAAATAAATTTTGACACTGGAATCAGTTGTGTGTTATTTTACACCTGAAGTTAGATTTAAATAATTTTAAAACCTGGTAAGGACCAACTGATTTTTATTCAGATTCAGATTCAGAATACTTTATTGATCCCAGAGGAAATTATGTGGGAACAGTTGCTACCCTTCTCCATCGCGACTCAGACTGAAGTTGTGATATTTCTCGGGGCCGGCAGATGAAATTAAATAGTATTTTTTGGGAGTTTTCTAAGAGCCACAGACAATATGCAAAGGCCAGCAGACAACACAGTTTAGTAATTCAAACATATAAAATATATGTACAGTGCAGACTCCAGGTGTGTATATCTTTGCGTTTCCCGTATCATTTTGTGCTGCTTTAGTATCCTGAATTGTATTTAAATCCAAAAAGCTTTGCTTTGCTCTCCAAGGGAACCAAAAAGTTTTACCACGATTTTTTCAGATCACGGGAGGCCGGTGCGTCTAACCCCTGAGATGAGGAAGGTCAATTGTATAATTATTTATGAAGCCATATTTTCAGGCTGCAAGGTTGTATTTTTTGTTTTTTTAAAAAAGAACACTGAACTCTGAACTTTTATGTACCATTATAAAGCACACGTGCAATTTTAAGTGCGAATATTTGAACATACATACATTTTCAACTAAAAGACCTTTTGTGGAGCGGTCAATAAGTAAAAGCTAACCAATGCACAGTTTCTGTGAGTTGGTTGTCCTTCACCACTGGGAACAACACCAATACGTTTTCCTGATCACAGACCTGGTACACTAAAAAAATATGTCCATTCACCACTGAGAGCAGAACATAAGCCATTTAGTACTATAAAACACAATGCAGTTCTGTACAAAAATTGAGACAGGCATTACATAATACAGGAAGACAGAAAGCCATTATTCTAAAGAAATAAGAACTAAATTAACTCAAATGTCAGTTTTCAAAACAAAACAATTTATGCAGAAAACTGACAATACAAAAGTTACTGGCTACAGAAAAGCCATGTAAAAATAGTGTCTAAACATTCACGAGAACATTAATTTTGTCATTACACACATAAAACTGCATTTCTGGTTTAATTTGTATATAACTGTTAAACACTGTTCCTTTGAACAGAACTCATTTTAACTCCTTAAAAGGACTGAGTATTCAGTGCCATGCCCTATATTCAGGACATTTATGCTGTTAGTAAAACCAATTCCAATCAGAAAATTTACTATGGTAACTTGCAAAAATAAAACTGAGTAAAGCAGCAGTCTTATTTTCTCTCACAATGTAATCTACAAGGCCAAGGCTGATAATATGCAGGTCCTGCTTCCTGTACCTTTCACCTTAACTAATCGTGTGGGCAGGAACTTAAAGGTTATTCTTTGCATATGTGCTGCCAGGCATTGGTTACCTTGACAGCAGCGACAAACTGGGACACAACTGAGTCATTACATCTAAGCTTTTGAGGGGGAAACGGTGGTCCAGTGTTTTCTACCAACTTTTCTATACTTACAAAGACCAATGTATTCATTACTGAAGTAATCCGCTTCTCAGTCTGTTCTTTCCCCTCTAATCAAATCATGCTTGCAATGTTATCTGAATGTCCTTTCTTGTTCATGCAAATGTATTGAACACATTTTGTTTTGCTTATATGTTACAAAATTTGAATATACTTTTAATCCAATTACGGAGTAATTTTAATGTTTTCTATTTAAAAAATATTTAAAACTTCAAAATGTATTGCACTTGTTTCAAATTCCCACATATGCATTCTTACAGATGCTTACAAATATGACTTTGATAAGTACACCTAATAAAAATTTGGACCAAATGCCAGCTAGCAAAAAGACAAAAAGTAGCACAGTAATTAAAGCATTACCAAGCTCATACTCTTGTACCTAAAACACTTAAACTTGAATTTGCTCTTTTCATAAGTTAGGAAGTATTTCCTATGCTTAACCATTTCCTCTCACCAAAAGAGATCACATGACTTTGATTGAATCTTTACTCTTTGTCTGGAAATGTATCTGTTGCAGACGTCATAACTAGTGATCAACATATGCCACTATAACTCTAACCAGACCGTAAACTGGTTTCCTCTTCAATGGCCTCCAAATCACAACAAAGTATTTTCCCAGTAGGTTTAAATTTGAATCAGGCAAAAATTGTTCCACATCTTATGCATTCTCCACCACACGGATGTGCATGCTCTGGAGTGTCCACTGAAACATACAGGTATGTGGTATGCCAGAACTCCATAACAATGTACCAAAAAAAAAAGTTTAAAAACTACAATTGTCTCTGGAGAAAATACATATGCAATGTTACATAACTGTTTATTCTATTTCAAAGTCTACTTAATAGAGTATCAGAGGACTTTTAATTAAATAGCATCAGTATGCTGGCATTTTACAGCCCTGAAAATGCAAGTATGTGCTCAATTACACTACTCAGTAACTGTCTATACTCAGTGCAAAAGTATGCAAGTCAGAAAAGATGTAGGTAATGGTAACCAATGTAAACTAAACAGACACCGGGATGCAAGTGGAAGGGGCTTGTGCCAAGATGCAACAGCATATTCAGGAGTGAAGGAAGCTGCACCTAAATTGAAGACTAGGGCCCAGTTCACACCTGGTATTAACATGCGTCCTGGGTGATTTGGTCACACGTGGACAGCGCTAATTATGTCCATTCACACCTGGCATTAACATGTGTCTCCATATGTATCTCGACTGACTGCTTGTAATCAGATCTGTTTCCTGCAACTTATTTAAATAAGCATGTAAATCACTTCCATATGCAGAATCTGCTGAACAGGGTAACCAAGCCACCTAAAATGTTTGTACGGAACGCCATAATACTCAAAATGAAATAAATAAAAACATCTATAAATAAATGAATATTTCAATGATTAGTGTGTCTTTATTTTGAAATAATTCCCTAAAGGTATCATATTTCATAGTGTTTATCTTCTACGTATAATCTTTAAACTGTATTTTGTAATAATGTTGTGATTTTCATTACAGTCATTTTGAATTATTTTCACATAATGCAAATGTGATTACTTGAAAAAAATCAAACTATATTTCACAGCAAAGTTCAACCTTTCACGTTATACCGCATTTTTCTACCATGCCAACACTCTACAAATGTACGTGTTAAAAAGGTCTTTCAGTACTAAGATATAACTAGGGTGGGCTAGTGCTTTTATATTCAAGAGCAAAGGGTTCAGTCTGTAATGCATTCTGTTGACAGCCATATGATAATATTTCAGCTTTTAATCATAACCAATGAAGCTCAAAATTTCTGTATCTCAAAATTTGTGAAAATTTCAATAAAGAGGCTCATTGTTTTGTCTGATATGCTGAATATATATATATGTCTGACTTGGAACAAGTGAAGTAAAAGGAGCAAAGTAGTCAGGGCAGGAGTGAAACTGAATTTCTCACTGGGAGTTCAAGCCCCCAAACAGCCCAATATAAAACTATATAAACAGTTACACTGTTATTATATGTTTCTATTGACATATCTATTATCTAGGCTATTGAACACACATTCTTACCTATACATTATTTTCACCCACAATTTGATAAACAGATTAGTAGAATGTCTAAAATATTAATGAGATGTATATTGTGTTGCCCAAAAGTTAGTGATCTGTATAAACTCGCCGTATCTTTATGCTTATTAAATTCGATTAGTGGAGTACCACCTGTTACCGTTTTGCTATATCAGGGAAGCAATAAACACAAGTGGTGGTGAAGAAAGGGACAGCTTATATATCTGATACCTCAGTTCTTGAACTCATTAGAACTCAAATTTCTTAAAAGTCGAACCAACCAGTTTGAAAAAAAAATACCTAGAGCTCGATCTGAATCTCAGAAGTCAAACCGTGAACGCCAACCTAAAGATAACTTGTACACGCGGGGAAATGAGTCACGCGGCACGTCTCTCAGCGGAAACAAAGGGTAACACTTCAGTCTCAGCCTTGCATTCGCCATGATAGCATCCTGCAAGTTTACACTAACTGAATACATATACTTAGACAGTAAAAATACATTTAGACAATGATAGACAGTAACACTAATTATTATAATATAATAAACTACATTTAAAAATAAAGATTTCTTATTCATTACTTTAATACTAATAATAAACCATTAATACGTTTAATTATAATAATATTGTTGTGCCGAGTGGGGACGGACCGGAGACAAAGGCGCAGACGTCAGGGTATCGGGGAATACGGGGTTTAATTACAGGTAAGGCAGGCAAAACGCAGACGTGGACTAAATACAGAGGACAACAACCAGAAACAGCTGATCACACGGGGATTCCACACAGGGTTAACGAGGGGGGCGTGGCACACGGAAGGAGCTGTAAACTAAGACATTCACAAGGTAACTCCATGAAAAGCTCTGTAAAAGTAGAAATGTGTTTATTTTAATTATAATTTAAGATAACGTGAGCCAACTGGCTAGTAGTTGCCTTTTAACTGAAAAAATTCACTCCAGTCATCAGAGAAAAAAGTTACTACATCAAAACATTTACATTGCAATAATGTATGGCATGAAACAAACTTGTAAGTATGTCATTCAGTAATACAAATAATAAAACAACATACCGTTCACATTGGCCTCAAGAACTAAGTTAGCGCTTGATTTCCCTGCACTTCCTGTTGTGGCTGAGCGTGCACCTGACGTCAGTGGCTGAAAGTGCACGTTCTGCAGCCAGACCCTTCTCAAACTGTTTGTTTGCCTAGCTGCAGTGATCACGCAATTGGATTTGTAGTTTTATTACCACGCAGACACCGGTGCAGACCAAAAAACACAACCAACGGATTAGTTTTACAGCGTTCTACTATTTTATTTGCTGCGGACAACGCTTTTTGGGAATGAACGGAGGTAAGAATTTTAAGACTTGGGTAAATTAAATTTAAGACCAGGATGAAAATCTGGGCATTTTTAAGACATTAAGGCCTTAAATTTAACTTTCTGAATTTTAGACTTTTTAAGACCCCGCGGGAACCCTGATATTTAGCAGCTACAAGGACAAAAGATATTAAAAAGCCCTCTGTACTAATGGTAATTTAATAAACATAAATAGATAACACTGTTGTTTTGTCTGCTCTAGCGGTTCAGCGTTCTCTCTTCGGGTGTTCGTGCATAGCGCTAGTGCTGCCGTGGTATGCCATCAAAACTTTGTGCAGTGTAAAACCACCTTTTTATTAAGTGATAATTTAACTACTCTCATAATTACGTGATATTAAAGGAAAACAATTGTTAGAATGTAGCGTTTTAGAAATCATAACGGTAATATCATTACAATTTTTTTTTATGTGTTGATTTAAAGTATTGATAGACGGAATTTCAGTGTCGACGTCTTCAACTACTTCAACTAATCACGGTAGCCCTAGAATAAACGGAAATTTTGGATAACTTTATCTCACAGTGCAGTTACAGGTTAATATACAGTCATGTTTAGCAGAGAGAAAGCCAAATATGAACTTTAGGCACTCAATTTAAATTTAGTACTTATTGCTTACCATGTGATCCAGTATTCAAATGGTGGCAAACAACCTCAAGGCACTAGAGAAATCATATTTCTTCAGTCTGGAGAGAAAAGGAATGAGAACTGCATTAAACTAATGTCTAAGCATTCCACATATTTTGAATTCTTAGCCAGTAAAATAAGACATAGCAATAATAAAATAATCTTAATTATTAAAGCACACATCTTGCTTTCCTGTGAACTTAAGTCCATGCAATTTGCAATGAAGTAATTTAATAGTTATTTCAAATGTAATACTGGATTTCAGAGTAAATGAGTTCATAGTGACTGTCAGAAGTGTTCCCAATCATTCCAATTAAACTTCCTTTGTATAGTGGATCAACATCATTAGTGAGGGATATGAGTCAAAGGAGGTATTATTTTTTCAACAGTGTCCTTTTATTCATTCATATAAGATCACAACTGCATGTAGTACTACTCCACACACATTTAATAATTGCAAAAAACACTATTAAATCAATATAAAAAACAGTTGAATGATTTGACAATTTAGCTGTCAAAGAATCTGCATCCATGTGCTCAGAAATTACAGAATAAGTATCAGGACAAAACTAAGAATAACATTTCACTTTCAGAAAGACAAAAGTCTAGCTAAACTGAGGATGGTGTCAGATAAACCTTCAGATCAAATAAACCACCTCTCCCTTGGCATTACTTATATGATCACTTCTCTACCAATTTTCAAATAGAGCCTGATGGCTCCCAATGGACTTAAATTAAGTGTTTCACACAAGTACACAAGTTGGGATCACATGGAGTCCATCCATCCACTTTCTCAAACCGCTTGTCCTATTCAGGCTCGCGGGACAT